GGTCTAACCGTTTTCTACCACCAAGCTCAAACGAGAAGATATAACAACCTTTATATGTGAAAAATATGACTTCCGTGAATGCACGTTTAGAGTGACGGTTATCAAAAATCTCCGTTATCAGTGCAGAAAATTTTGCTTTGTCCAAATTGGTGTATGCAGGAGACCAACAACAATGCGCTCAATAATCATACTCCTTCCAACTCATTGGGCGGTGTAGATATTTAATTCTTTTGACAGGTAAGAAGAAATTCATTAGAAAACTGGCCCAGTAGATCAGCTTCAACAATATGCTGAATTACTCGTTGGCCACCGGTGAGATAAACCCATTGCCAAACGGGCGGGCGACGTGATTTGAATTTGTTGGTCAAATCAATACGCGCTATGCTTTGTTGAGAGTTCGATAACAGCTTTATATCACGTGGTCTCAGCCGCATTTCAAATTGAGCCATCACTTTTCAAACAAAATCGTGGGAAAAAATGGCTAATCAGCCCGGACTATCATCCACATTGGATTTGTGCAACTATTCTCTGCTGAAAACAAATACAACTATCATTTACTCTGCTATGGTTAGTTTTCTCCCTATCGGTTTATGTCTTGATGAAGAAATTTCGTTGAATATACAACAAATTGGACTTATGTTCACATAGAAGCGCTTCCACAAGATATCAACTGAGCCAGCAGATTCATGCGCCTTTCGTTTTAGCCGCTTCTCGGCTTCAATTATATGCCAAAACCTTTTGGAGGTTTTATCCGGTTTGGGCGTGATGACACTACAGGACGCTCATTCAATGAGCCGCACATCTCAAGGTCAACTTTCGAAGATCAACTTGTGTCTTTCTGGGACTAAGTTTTCAGTTCTTCCAGTATTGGAGATAATGCGTGAGTAGTTTGTAGCCTAATAATTTATAGCAATTTATTTAAGTTAGAATATTTTCAATAATTTGCTTATTTGTGCACTGAATGTGAAGAGAATAGAAATTTAGAATACGTGTGCTCCAACCTAATAGAAACTCTAATTGGACACGAATCATATATTAAAAAGAATGAAAACCCATGCTACTTTGCCCAAAAACGTTTCTTAATCAGAGCAGTAACGTTTCAACTACTGCAAATTTTATAGCGACACTCAAAGTCGCGCACATTCAAATGGTGATAGAAATGAACTAAGAACGTAGATGTTGGAGAGAAAGTCAGGAATAAATACATTGTACCCATAACCATCTATATATAAGTATGCTATTGCAAGCTGAAATGGATTTTCAAAATGAGGGTGATGTTGCACGAGTTTGGTCAACACCTGTACATATATATGTTCCTAGGAAGTACTGTAAAGGAAAACCAACTTGTTTTGGTCTCATCAAAAATACGAATGCATCTAGGATCGAACAGGCTTGTGGCGGGAAACAGACACTGGACCGGTGGTCTAGACAATAAGTTTATTTGGGGCAGCTAGAAATGTGCCATTCACCGCTGCCTTTACATTGTGTGCACGTGGTTCAGAAGATGATAGCCCTTAAATTCGCCTCGCTTATCTAAGCACCAGCTTCCGGATTGCGACTCGGTCCCGGTTTCTGTCCTAAATATGGTCGATGATTTCGCACTTCTGATGGGACCCAACATAGTCAAAAAATGGTATCCAGTGTCTCATGCCTTTTCAGATCAAGCTTATTCTGGTGTGTA